AAGGTGCTAAGATGGGTTTTTTCCCGCCGACGTAATTTCGTTGGCTCATCTGAAATTGGCTCTCCGTCTGTTTCCATCAGCCTGCGAGCGGGCGGAAACAGCGCCAGCTGATCAATGACAAAATAAAAAGCGAGGAGCGGGAATGGCTCTCATGCTCAGATGTTAATTTTTTGTGCTCGCATTTGATTTTGAAGTGGACATGTTAACTAGGTTAAAAAAAAACATGGAATATTTCAATTTTTTAAAAATCAACAATTTTAAATGTGTATGAAAAATTGTTTATTCAACTAATATTTCGGGGGTTGGAATTGTTCATAAAAAATGTACAAACTTAACCCCTAACTCAATTTGAAACCCTATCCATGACCAAACCGTACTTCAAAACCATCTTGACAGCCTTACTTTGAAACGCTAAGCTTGATTTTGAAACCCAAACATTGACTTCACACCCTAACTCTGCCTCAAAAAAAACAAAAAAAAAAACAGTCTTGAAATCTTAATATGAATGCCCAACCCTGACTCGGAACCCTAATTTAAAACCCTAACCTTATTACCACGTTAATAGTAACAGGGTAAAACTATTTTGATGGGAAAATGGGCTCACAATTAAAAAAAAAAAAAAAAACAAACAAAAAAACAGGAGCATGTTATTTCTTTTTTTCTCACTTCTGCAGTCACAATTTGGGGGCGGGGTGGGGGAGATAGTGGGGGGCTTCCGCCTTTCCACAGCTAAACAAGCGGCAAATGTTGCACTTGCAGGGAAAAGGCGATATGATGAAATCAAATAGGAAGCAGCAATCAGTGTGTGTATATGTGTGTGCGCTCACACACCAGCTGTTGGAGGCAATGCGTGATGGTAATGACTTTTTTTTTCAGCACAAAAAGAAAACACACACAAATGCTCCTACTGTGGTGATTTGTTCTTTTGTTCCTCTTTCCTGATGTTCAATGTTTGACTCCATCGCATTTTATTGTCCTCTGACTACAAAGTTGCATGGAAAATGTTAAAAAAAAGAAAAAAGTTAATTCTATGACAAAACAACCCATACATTTTTGAAAGTCTAAATTTCTCGAGAATTAACATTTTTTGTAATATTGCAAAATAGATGCGCTGCTCAATTGCAAGAAATGAAAAGTCGCTAAACTGGTCAAATGGGAGAATTAACAACAAACATTTTGCAATAAAGTTGGATTTTCCTTCAAGCTTAAATTGAAATCAATTAGAAAAGGTCACGTTTTAGCCATGAATGTAACATTTTGGATTACATTTTTTTTTTTCAAATTTAAAAGAATCCAGGGAAAATTAAAAAAAATAAGAAAACATGTTCTTTTGTTTTTAAAAAAAAAAACATTTATTTACAATTAAATTTCTTTTATTCTTGGAAAACATAGTTGTGCTTTTGAGGGGAGGGAATCTAGTCATGCAGGAAAGGTGGGACTTAACTGTGACGGCGATCAGATTACTGGGTGCTCACAGATTTTTTTTTTCTCTGTTTACGGGCTGCGTAATAAATTTCATCTGCCACACACACACACACACACACACACACACACACACACACACACACACACACACAGGCGTTGTGCATGCACAGACACATCCACCGATAGTGTACACAACACAAAACGGCCCGTAAATCATCCCCGGTTGCTCGAGGAGAAAAAAAATGTGTTTGGTGCACTGTTAGCCGTGTTTCATTTTGACACGAGCTGCATTAGCGCGCCCATCAACGTCAGGCCAGATCAATATCACCCCAGATCAATCAGGTTCTGCTTTTTGGCAATTGCTGCGAGTTGGAAGAGCTTTGGCCACATTTTGGTCCTAAAACCACGCGGTGACCTTGACAATCAAAACGCAACGGCATTGACATTTAATTCCTTCGTTCCAAATAGATTAGTTGTGTAAGAATTAAGTCCGCATGTTTTTTTCACTCAAGTTGGAAAACCCTCCGTTCTTTTAAAACCCAATCATTTCATGTTTTTAAATTCTATGTCATTATTTTGGGATGAATTAGTTCATTTATTATGTATTGGTCAATTTATTGAGTTTCTATTTATGATGATTATTCATACTATTAATGTAAGTCTTCTTTTTTTTCACCTAAAATTATAAAGTAGCCTATCAAAAAAATTGTAAAATAGATTTAAAGCTGTATCTTTATGAGAATAACATTCCCAATTTATTTAGTCGTGATTTTACAAATGTAAAGTTTATCAGAAAACAATAAAATTATGAGAATATCGGGACAATTACAAAGCGTGTGAGGGAAAAGTGGCTGGGATTGCACGACTGTCCGTGTTTTATGTTATGTGTTGTGTTTATTATTTTGCTTTATGTTAACTGTTTTGTTAAGTGCTTTGTTACAGCTGCAGCTGTTGTGAAAGCACTGTATAAATCAAGATGTATTGTATTGTTAAAATAAAGTTTTCAATGACGCAAAAGTCCAAATATTCAATATTTATTACAGAAAAACAAAAGAAAATGCAATTTTCCTTTTTATTGATTTCATGGAATCCTTTTTTAAGTCGACTCAGTGTAGGAACCTTTGTCTAACTTCTTAAAAAACATGACATTATATTTTTGGCACGGGCCATGAGCAATTTGGTGCGAAAACCAAAATCATTTTGAGCATTGACAAGGTTGGCTAACATTTAAAATTAAGTGGTGTGGGCACACAAATCGACTTAGCATAGGCTTAGCTATCATTTGCTAACTATCTAAAAAAAAAAACAAACCAAAAAAAAAAAAACCGTAAATGTCAGTTAAAATGTTTTATCATCCGAATTTTGGGCTAAAACCAGTAAGGTTTAGTCTTGACAAGATTTTACATCTAAAATGAGTTAGCATGGGCACGCAAGCCAACGAGTCATCTTAGCCTCGCTTTCGCCATCCTGAATGAAGTGGATAGGCAGCCTTCTTCATCAAAGTCAGACCCGGGCGTGAAAATCCGCGTGACAGACGGCGCCACATGGCAGCGAACCGGCCGAGCCGATAAGTGAGCCTGTGATTGATCTGCCTAGCAGGCAGCCCGTCAATAATAGTCCCGCCTCGGCCGGCGCTGCCCAAATGAGGCGCGAGCTGTCAGTCAGCGGACGGCGGAGACGAGAATCGATCAAAAGTGTCCGGCCAACGGACCCTCGCCGTGATGTCGTTTGTCGGCACTTTGGCAACCGTGATGGACAACCTGCGAATGCATTAAACACAGAAATGGCGCCCACAACTGACAACGCGCCTTTTAATACACGGCGCCGAACGGTGGTGAAAGTACATCGTAAACCTTGCCTCTTTCAGATTAGAGCGCACAGACGCAAAATGAATTTCAACAAGCTGCACATTTTGTCCACTGAGTGCGGTTGAAGTCATCAAGAGATATGAACTGCGATGGAAAAAAAATAAAAATAAATAATAATAATAATTGCCGGAAGCTAATTAGCTTTCCACGTTAGCGCCGTTGGTAATTGTGGTGGCCTGAATAGCAATGAGCTGGCACCACGTCGGACAAAGCGACGGCGCGGAAATGAAACTCGAGGTTTGACCTTTGGAGTATTTTGACTTGACTTTGAACTTTGTGGTGGAGCGGTACGGCGAAAATTTTTTTACTCTTCAGGCAGGAAAAGGAGGACGCCGTCATTCCGCTCCGGCTCGCACTTTGCGTCAACTCGGCGAAGGCGGCAGCGGTGCGCGTTCCCGGGAGAGAGAGGCGGGAATAATGGATTTTATTTCCTCGCGCCGAGGAGGTGATTCAATAGCCGCGATGATCCTCGCAACTTTAGGGAAAGTTAAGGAAGGATATGGCGCGTGAAGTGGGGCTCTGCTGGTGACAAAAGTGCCCCCCCCCCACACCCCCGCACAAAAGACTTGAAATCTCCCTGTCGTGGTTCCTCACCGTTTCTGGGTCACGAGGCGTTTTTGATGTGCCGCAACGTTTCTGCCTGTCAAATAAAGAAATGCGGTGCGCACACACACCGTGAGGCAGCCTCCTGTTCATCTGATGTGCTGCCAAGCAAGACACGGTCTACCGGGGGGCATTTTCCCCTCCAGGGGGTGCGCCAGATTAAAAAAATCAGTCAGAGTGCTCTGATATCATAATTGGTCGTGTCTCGAGAGCAGCCTCTCTCAAACCTGTTTATTGCACACAGAGCCCCTCATACATATCGACAGAGCTGGCGCACCCCTGAGGATGCACAAGATTTAAAAGCCAATAGCAATCTCATCTACTGTAATAATTGCATCTGTAGAAAAGTTTTTACCAAAGTTTTGAGGTCCCTATAACAAAGTTGGTGTGCCCTCAAACAAATATTTCTAATCCTGTTCAATCATGGCGGTGCGAGACTCTCTTGAGCAACCTTTCTGCAACTTTTTAACCCCATTTAACATCCCGACATAACTGCCGTACACACGGTAACCTGCATTCACACCCCCCCCAAAAAAAAAAACATTAAATAAAGATAAAGAGTAATTTTTACAAATGGGGATGTGTTATATGTAAAATGTAACCTGGAATTTATGTGATAGCGACTATTTTTTCTGAAACAGCCGTTCCCCAAATGTTTTAATCCACACACACCCTTTGAAAAAGTTGGTGCACCCCCTCTATCCTATGCGCATCCAAAAATAAGAAACAAAGACAGGAAACAATGACACACCTGCTCAAGAATACATTTGTATTATGGCAGGCATTCCCAAAACTGTGCCGTGTGCGCACTTTTGGGGGTGCGCCAGATTCGGAATCTCATGTGGTGACACTAGGATGTGTTGTTTCGGGTTAATTTGCATGACGTGTTGATTTTCATGGCTCTCAACAACTCTGGGGTCTATTAAAAGAAGTGATCGGGGTGCAACAACTCTATCGACATTTCAAAAGGTGTGCGTGGCTTAAAAAGTTTGTTGGAGACCTGTAATTGTCCCGACCTGTTGGAGACCTATCTGCAGTATGTATGTGTGTGTGTGTGTGTGTGTATATATATATATATATATATATATATATTAAAATTTTTTTATCACACCTGGTGGGAAAAAGGTACCTCCTAGAGGACGCACCACCGATTTTGTAATCCCAGGCCTGGGAAGCGTCTGCTCTTTGAGCCCTAATGAGCATCCATATCATGTAGCATCCGAGTGATACTCGTCTAATGGAACATTAAGTCTCATCAAAGGGTTGTTGGGAGGGAAGGGGTGCGCCGGGGGCTGGGTGGGGGTGCTTTAATGAACAACACTGCTGCTTTTAATGACCTGCGTGATGCATTGCACGCGCATGCACGCACGCACACGCACGCGCGCACGCACCCTGCGTTATCTTGACGGCGAGGAAGTGCACACACAGCACTGTTGCTCCTCAGTCGCACTGCAAAAAAATAAATAAAAAAATAAAACCCGAATGCATCTGTTCACTGAAAGTAGATAAGGTAAAGCTGGATTACCCTCGGGATTCCCGTTGAATACCTTCCCGGGGGGTGCGCTTTCAGGAGATAGACAGAAATACCCCCGAAATTAACATGCTGTGGAAAAAGGGGTCTCTGATACTGCTTTTGAAGGTGAAAAGTTTCCATTTGGACTACCCACCCCCCAAACCCCACCCCCGCCGTCAGTGCCGTTTAGACAGAGCAGCTACACGGGAAGAAAATGTTCAGCCTTTTATACTGAGCAGCAAAATCTGAAAAAAAAAAAAAACAAAACCATAAAATTAATAATAATTAAAAAAACAGAAAAATGATGGCTTCTACAAAAAGATGTTTCTGATACTACTTGGGGAAGGCGGAAAATTCCCGGGTTGATTCCCCCCGCCCCATTTCATGTTGATGCAATTTATCAACCTGATTCCAAGGCCCCACGAGCCTTTGACTGAATTGTCGGCCCGACCGGCAGTATGAACGGGAACCGACATTTTGTTGACATGTCACCTGAGTGAGTGACAGTCGCAGACTTAATGTGGGAATGCTCTTTGTCGCAGCCTCAAAGAGAGAACATTACGAATGCTACACAGCAGTAACCCAGAAAAAAAAAGGCTGTTCCTCCGAGCCACCGTTTCATTTTTAGTGTCGCTTATGCGGAACGGCGACACAAAAAAACTCTGCAAAGGTTGGCTTCCGTCCCCGCCATTCCATGTAGCCCGAAAGCCGCTAATCGCATTTTCCTCGCTTCTTCAAAATCTCCCCAAGCAGCCATGCGCCAGAGGGCACCCTGGGAGAACGACTAACTGGTCCACACTCCAAGGGGGGTACACGGGTAGTAAGGAGGCGGAGATAAACACAATCCGCAGAAGTGAGGGAGTACGAAGCAACGCGGCTTAAGTTGAGCCTTCATTGAGACGAGCCCCCGTAAATAGCTGACACTCTCCAGACCACAACTTTTTTTTTTTTTTTTTCGGGTGGCGGCCATGTTGCATTCAGCATGGTGGGATGCTGCAGTGTCAACGAGCAACATGAGCAGTCCCACAAAAAAAAACAAAAACAAACAAAAAAAAAAAACCCTCACAAAAAGCCATTTCTGAAAACACACAGAAGGAAGTCTGAATATTTTGCCCGGGGTCCAACAAAGACTAACTCCTCTTGGAGAGGTTTTGTATATTCAGCACACATTTGATTAGCTACAGGAAATTTGGTAGGCCTGCCTATCATCATAAGCAAATCCACAAAAAAAGGTCCCAACAAACCATGCCTGAAAACAACGCAGGAAGTCAGACATTTAGATTTGAAACCATTTTGGGGTTATTTCCACGAACCACCCGAAGAAAATGCAGCACTCAAAGCCTATTCCACTTAGCTACAAGAAAATTGGTAGACATGGCAATCGTCAATAAACCTACAAAAAAAAAAAAAAATCATGCCCGAAAACACACCAGAGATCAGCTGTTTGGGTTTGAAATGAATTATTATTTTAGGTCATGTCCATGGCTCTTATGATGACCAACTACTCCTCAAGTGTTTTTGAAAACTCAGCCCCCCACCCAAAAGAAAACCATAAAAACACACAGGAAGTCAGTTATTTGGGTTTCAAATTTGTTTTAGTTTGATTTCCAGGGGGCAGACCAAAATGAGCTCCTTCAAGAGATTTTGAAAATTCAGTCCCTGAAACCAGTTGCACTTGGCAACTTGAAATGTAATCATGTCCGTCATGAATGAACGCACAAAAAAACCTCTCTAGAAACTATCCCTGAAACACAGGAAGTTAGCAACCTTGATGGAAAGTGGTCATTTTATTTTCCATTTCCATTTTAATTCATTTAAATGTCAGTTTTAGGGGTCCTAGACCCATGAGCGAGTTTCAAGAAGCGGCAGCCTCCGGAGTCCGATTTGATTATCTGCAAGAAATTTGGTGTTCGGGTCTATCATGAGTAGAGCCACAAAAAGATTCAATCAGCCCTGCCTCAAAAGACACAGGGAGTCTGACATTTTGCTTTGAAGTGACCACTTGCGGGTCATTTTGACACCGTAAGGGGGTCTTTAAACGATAAAGTCATCCGTGACGTTTTGTTCGATTGCTAGCAAACCAAAACCAGGACCTCCACTCCTGGAGGCTTCAGAGACTGACTGACTGCACCAAAAGGAGCTGGCGGAGATGGCATGAGAGCGGGTGGCCCGCAGGGGGTGTCGATCCGGTGACGACAAAGAAAATCGCAATGACGCCACCGTAAAGTGTTTTGACCTTTGCGGTTGCTTCGTGTGGCGAGACGGCTTCAAATAGACTGTGTGTGTGTGTGTGTGTCAGTCGTATAAAATATCCTTTCATTTTGATTTTTTTGCAACCCTTGAAATTTTCAGTTTGTTGACACCAGGGGTGGGCAATTATTTATTTATGAGAAGAAAATATTGTGGGGGGGGGGCGGGCCTACTTCGGTTAGCAATTTTATTTCTACGTTGAAATAAGTAAATGACATTGTGAACAGAAGCTGATGAGAGGATGTGTTATTGTTAGAAATTGAGAGTGCAGTTGTTTTACCAATATATATATATTAGTTGGTGAAATTACGCAAAACAATTGTAATTGCACAGCATTTGTAACACTTTTTCAGAAACGTGAACACGACAACGCTTTCTGATTTTATCTTTCCATGAAGATACCAAAATGTCTTTGTACGCCACTAATAATTTAACATAACTCACAAAAAAAATGTTTGTCCCAACCGCCAAACATTGCAGAAAAAAATAATAAGTAAGCATGTTCCAGTGTTTTTTTTTTTTTCTTGTTCAGTGAGACAAAAGTAGCCTCTGTTGAGCTTCGTCAAGTGCGTCATCAAAGCAGGTTGAATGTTTGAGGTGGAGATTTGAAGCACACATGACAGATGCTCATCTGTCAGAGACAGTTTGTACCTGGATTTGATGAACTTCTTTTGTTGCTCCGGACATATTAGCGCCACAGTCCATCGAGCACTCTTGAACGAATTCCGCCTCCGGAAAATGGCTTCGTGTTCCCAGCGATGTTGTGGCCTATCACGGAGCTCGTCCTGGTTCCTGCTTCCCGGGCCGCGTGTAGCACTAGCTTGGTAAAATAATATCTTTGTTGTTTTTCGAGTTTCGCTCGCAAATCTTCGGATATCTGCGCTCTCCCAGCCTCAGTCAAATGTCTGGATTTTTCCGCAGTCTCCGTCTCGTAATGGCGACTCACGTTATGATCCTTCAAGTCGCCATGTTGCTAATCACGCGGACTCCGCCAGAATTCCTGCACGTAAACGACGCACGGACACCGTAAACAGGTTTCAAAGTAAAAATTCTGCTGTTTTAGTCCACGTACTGTGCGAAACTTTGAAAGTAGGTTTATTTTCTTAATAACAAACAACCTTTCACAAGCCAGGAAGAACCGTGCCGCGGCCCAAAACGCGTTATCCAAAATTTTGAAAGTATTGTAGCTTTTATTTTTTTAATTTCAAACAACTCTTCATGGGCCAGGAAGAGCCGGCCCGCGGATTTGAACCAAAGACCCGAGTCAATTGAAATTCTTTTCCAGGGTTTGAATTGTATTCAAGAGTAATTTTTCAAAAAGACATTCCGATTAAAGGAGCATAAAACAATACAGAGGGAGGAAAAGAGCATTGTTTTCCAAAGTTGCTATTTCATTCAAGAAGGATATTTGCTAGTTTGACACTCCGCTTCGGTTCACTGACCATCAAGAGTACAGAGATGGCAAGTTACATTTTTTTCATGGTTTCAATGTAATTTAAGAGAAATATGTATTGAATTGTTCGTATCATTTTCCATGATTCTGATTCAATTCCAAACTGATATTTGGCTTTTCAAGCCCGATACGATTGGATTCACTCACCGTGAAACAATACTAGATGAGAATCGTATCGTTTTCCATGATTCTGATTCAATTCCAAACTGATATTTGGCTTTTCAAGCCCGATACGATTGGATTCACTCACCGTGAAACAATACTAGATGAGAATCGTATTGTTTTCCAAGGTGCTGATTCAATTGAAAAATGATATTTGGCTCATTTTGAGTGATGCCGTTTGATTTGATTTGATGACAATAAAACGCTACAGTGCATGTGTATGATTTTCCACGGCTTCCTTTGATTCTTGATCAATATTTGGGTTTTTCAGATTTCAATCAGTCTATCGATTCAAAAACGACATTTTACTTTTTTTTTTTCGTTTTTTTTTTGTTTGTTTTTTTGGGTGGTGGGGGTGTGTGTCTCCCCAAAATGAGGAGTATCCTTTTTTACAGCATAAATGTTTGCATCGGCTGTCATTGGCTTTTGCAGGTGTCCCTAATTAAGTGTCCGGGTGAGTGTACAAGTGACACGACGCGTGACGTGCTGGTGGGAAGACAATGCGTAAAAAGAGGTGGAGAGAGAGAGAGAGAGAGAGAGAGAGAGAGAGAGAGAGAGAGAGAGAGAGCGACGACGGGGAAAAGGAGTTGCTCCTCGCACACGCTCCGTTGCGCGGCGTGTACGTGGGTGCCGTGAGCGTTCCCCCGGGGGGAGGCGGAGGGGGGGCGGCGGGAGTGGGAAGGAAGGAAGGAAGGAAGGAAGAGCGAGTGCGCGCGCCAACAACAAGTGGCTCCCCCGCCACGCGCAACCACGCTGCCGCAGCATGTGCGCGCACCCGCACGCACCCTGGACTTTTGTGTGCGTGTGTATTTTTATGACTCTAAATCGACTTCAATGAATGCCGCTGAGCGAGGCAAGATTTTGCCTCCCCCTTGCTCCATGGACTCGCTGCTGATGCTGCGCTCCCCCGGTGGCCGTCTCGGCGAGTCTGGTTCCCGTCGCTAGATTTCCACCCCAACTTCCCCTACCCCCTTTCCCCTTCCTGGAATCGCCGGGTAGAGAGGGTCGCAGCCATGCCGATGCATCCGATCACCTCCACGCTCATGTACCGGGGGATGTGCACCATCCCGGACATCCTCTCCTACAGCGCCCCGGTCAACCTGCCCGAAGACGAGGTGGAAGGTGAGAGACATTACCCCCCCACACCCCCCACGCCTCCCCGCCGCGGGTTAGGTCCAAGGTGCTGCTCTAAGACACAACATCAGGTGCACCTGATGAGCTCTATTTGTGTACGCACAGATTGTTTTTCTTCTTGAACTGTACCACATATATTGAACCGCTGTCACGCTCAAATTGAATAATCATCAACATGTTGGCGAATAAAGCAAACGTAAACTACGATGTTGTGCCTAACAGGATTTGTAAACCACATGTATTTTTAATGGGTGTAAACTTTTTGGAGTATAAAGTCCAAATATTGAGTGTCTTCAATGTAGTACCACGTCATGCCACAACATGCCGGGCAGCACTGAGCTCGACTGGAAGAAGTGCGGCATTATTAATCCCAAGAGAATGTGTTGAAGTGGCAGTTGTTCACAAAACATCGATGCTAATAGTCATGTTCTCGTCTATGGAGCTCTTCGCGTTATATGTTAGCATTAAGCTCGCAGGACTTTGTTAATATATATTCTAGCTGAGTATTCTGGTGTTCAAATACGCTATGTTTAATTGTTTTTTGTTTCATGTCTCACTTGGACAGTAAACGTCAACTGGGAGTGACAAATTAGGCAGCTTGAAGCAAGCACACTTGGAAAAAAAACTATGCAAACGAGACAGACCTAAGACACTTTGTAGTATTGTGACTTTTAAATGTGATATAAATAAATGCTCTTTCCAGATTACAGTTGCTCACCTATTGCAGGCTGTCTGGAACAAACCTTGCCAGATACGCTAGTTCATTGTCGAGCGTTGACTAGGTGGACCTAATGAAAAAGAGAGAGAGAGAGAGAGAGAGAGCGACGACGGGGAAAAGGAGTTGCTCCTCGCACACGCTCCGTTGCGCGGCGTGTACGTGGGTGCCGTGAGCGTTCCCCCGGGGGGAGGTGGAGGGGGGGCGGCGGGAGTGGGAAGGAAGGAAGGAAGGAAGGAAGGAAGAGCGAGTGCGCGCGCCAACAACAAGTGGCTCCCCCGCCACGCGCAACCACGCTGCCGCAGCATGTGCGCGCACCCGCACGCACCCTGGACTTTTGTGTGCGTGTGTATTTTTATGACTCTAAATCGACTTCAATGAATGCCGCTGAGCGAGGCAAGATTTTGCCTCCCCCTTGCTCCATGGACTCGCTGCTGATGCTGCGCTCCCCCGGTGGCCGTCTCGGCGAGTCTGGTTCCCGTCGCTAGATTTCCACCCTAACTTCCCCTACCCCCTTTCCCCTTCCTGGAATCGCCGGGTAGAGAGGGTCGCAGCCATGCCGATGCATCCGATCACCTCCACGCTCATGTACCGGGGGATGTGCACCATCCCGGACATCCTCTCCTACAGCGCCCCGGTCAACCTGCCCGAAGACGAGGTGGAAGGTGAGAGACATCACACCCCCACACCCCCCTGCCTCCCCGCCGCGGGTTAGGTCCAAGGTGCTGCTCTAAGACACAACATCAGGTGCACCTGATGAGCTCTATTTATGTACGCACAGATTGTTTTTCTTCTTGAACTGTACCACATATATTGAACCGCTGTCGCGCTCAAATTGAATAATCATCAACATGTTGGCGAATAAAGCAAACGTAAACTACGATGTTGTGCCTAACAGGATTTGTAAACCACATGTATTTTTAATGGGTGTAAACTTTTTGGAGTATAAAGTCCAAATATTGAGTGTCTTCAATGTAGTACCACGTCATGCCACAACATGCCGGGCAGCACTGAGCTCGACTGGAAGAAGTGCGGCATTATTAATCCCAAGAGAATGTGTTGAAGTGGCAGTTGTTCACAAAACATCGATGCTAATAGTCATGTTCTCGTCTATGGAGCTCTTCGCGTTATATGTTAGCATTAAGCTCGCAGGACTTTGTTAATATATATTCTAGCTGAGGATTCTGTTGTTCAAATACGCTATGTGTAATTGTTTTTTGTTTCATGTCTCACTTGGACAGTAAACGTCAACTGGGAGTGACAAATTAGGCAGCTTGAAGCAAGCACACTTGGAAAAAAAACTATGCAAACGAGACAGACCTAAGACACTTTGTAGTATTGTGACTTTTAAATGTGATATAAATAAATGCTCTTTCCAGATTACAGTTGCTCACCTATTGCAGGCTGTCTGGAACAAACCTTGCCAGATACGCTAGTTCATTGTCGAGCGTTGACTAGGTGGACCTAATGTTCTGATGGTGTGAGTGTGAGCACACATTTTTGATTCTGAAGTTGGTCCCTGTTTTTGCATGTGCTTCTAATGAAGTCCTAACAATCCTGCTATGAAGCGGTGTTTTGCAACCTTTCAGCACAGCGCCAACTCAAATTGATAATTAAAAAATAAAATGATGTCTCCTCACTGACAGAGGAGGGCGCCATAGAAGAATCTTGCCAAGAGCGTCAGTTGGGCTCGGGCCTGCCCTGCTTAGCATCAGCGGACAACAACACAAGGTGATTTGCAATTGTTGGGCCTCTCAAACCTGCCAAAAGTGGGTCTTGGTACACTCTGATGTCATGATCACGAGCTTACTTGAGTCGTTTTTGTTCACCTCAGCTGTTGCGAGCGAATTCCGCAGCAATTTCTCATTACTGTACAAAATTAGCATTAGTTTAGTCTCACCATGTAATTTCTCGTTGTTTCGTGTAGTAGCTCTGGACAAATGTGCTATTTTGACCAATTTCTGTCGTCTTGTGGAAGCCTCTGTCCTCTCCAGTGGACAGTAGAGTTGAAGTTCAATAAACTGTTCTTGTAATGTTACATTTGTGGTCTGCTTCTAAAAGTCAGACTCCATCTGGGCCCTTTGTGGCGGGCACGATGGTGCCACTTATTGCAGCAACGGGATGCTTGGCGCTAATGCACATTTAACAGCGGCGACGTTAGTGATCCCCTGCGAAGGAGCTCTGAGCTTCATCTGCCGCTTTTGTCGGCTGGTTAGCGCAAGTGATGGCACTTGTTGATTTTTAAAGGGCAGACCTCCTCCAGCGGCCAATTTGTGGGCCGCAATCATTTGTCATATTAACCTTCAAGTGACTTTATCCTCTGCGTTTGGCTGGCGACCAGTTAAGGGCGTACCCTACCTACTGCCCGAAAACAATTGAGAGGCTCCAGCACACCCCCAATCATTGTGAGGATAAAGCAGAGCGGATAATGGATGGATGGATGGATGGATGGATCATGGATGGATGGTGACTTTATATTGACAGACAGAATCCACTTGTTATTTGGAAAACTTTGGGTGGCACAGTTGTTGGATATCGACTAATTCATGCCACCACTTGTCGCTAGGCAGAATTTGAGGACACAGTTTCGAGTCATCGATGCATTTTTTTCAACCAGCTGTTGCTAAGCAAAATACATGAGGCCAAATTGTTGAACGTCAACAAATTTGTATGACCACATGTTGCTAAGCAT